GTGGGGCGCTGGGCAGGGCGGCCTCGGCGCCCACCCTCGCCGCGCGGGCCCAGCCCACCCCCGGCGGCACCAGTTGCGTGCGCGGAAAGATGGCCGCTCGCCGGCCCTGCTGCAGGGAGCTCAAAATGGAGGACGCAGCGGCCCGGGGAGAGCGGGCGGGTGAGTCACCCACACAAAGGAAAGGGGCCTCCTCCCCACGGTGTGTGCTGGACGCTGCTCCGCCACCTCGCTCAACCTGTGGAGTGCCGCTTCCACGGGTTGGGGGGGCAGGGATTTTTTTTTTCCGCTATGGAGTTTCCCCCACATCTGGTGGGTGGAGACTTGAGAGTTGGACCGGATTGGCACTGAAAGTATCTCCTTGGAATTTGACCTTTGGGTTTTGGATCGTGGCTCAGTACCAAGCCTCTCCCACCGTGCGTGCCTTTAAAGGCTTACCTGCCCCTTTCCCCCCAATCCAGGTGTCGGTGAAAACCATCGCAGAAACCTAAGCCAAAATGGGAAAGGAGAAGACCCATATCAACATCGTCGTCATTGGACACGTCGATTCTGGCAAGTCCACCACAACTGGTCACCTGATCTACAAATGTGGTGGGATCGACAAGAGAACCATCGAAAAATTCGAGAAGGAAGCTGCTGAGGTATGTGTGGTGACCCAAAAGGATTGGATAAATTTGACACCCAACTACATTAAGTGGTCATGGTTTACTAAAAGGAACCAGAACTCGGTTAGATTCGAATGTTACACAGTGTAATGTGTATTGTAAGAGGTTGCTTTTAATAGCCTCTCGTGCTGGGGTGAATAAGAAAACTAGTTAGGAAAATATAAAGCTTGTTGTATGAGCCCCTAATAAAATGTTAGCAAATTAAAAAAAAGACAAAATATAAAGCTTTTAGCCAGCCCCAGGATATTCCAATTGTACTCTGATTTTTAGTTAACAAAGTAATTGTTTTTGATACTTACAGATGGGAAAGGGCTCCTTCAAGTATGCCTGGGTCTTGGATAAGCTGAAAGCCGAACGGGAACGTGGCATCACCATTGATATTTCCCTGTGGAAATTTGAGACCAGCAAGTACTATGTGACCATCATCGATGCCCCTGGACACAGAGACTTCATTAAAAACATGATTACAGGAACATCACAGG